GAATCTTTTGAAGCTGGCATTATGAACTGATGTCACATGTATCTATCTCTATTTCCTTCCTGGCTTATCCGCTCTAGAAACTTTGCTTAAATACTCTTCAAAGAAATCATGAAGCATGTTTTTTGTTATTGCTGGAAGGATCCATTAGTTTGAAAATGTTAAATATTTTCCAATCAATAGATTAAGTTATTAACTGACAGTATGGTCAAATCCTCCAACTCAGAAACCATTTTTGTCATTTGATCATTGATTGTCTTGGTGTTTATTTCTGTTTTCACTCCACACACACACACACACACACAAATACACACACACATACATACATATATATATATATATATATATATATATAATGTCGTTCATATACAAGCCTGTTTCATTGTATCACAGCTCATCAGTGTGACTAGACATCCAAATGCTTCAAGCCAGGATCGAAAATATATGTGTGTATATATATATAACACACACACAATTCAAGAAAGACATTTGGATTACTAACACTAAAACAGAGAATGTCTCATATCAAGAATATTTAACATTGAAAAACATAAGGAAAAAATTAATTATTTTTAATAATATGTGGAAATCTCTGCTTTTACCTGAAGACGGTCATGAGACCAGAAACCCGTGTAGTAAAATTATGGAAAATAAAGCATAATATTTTTTTCTAAAAAAAAACACATTACAACCAAAAAAGTTTGCAGCACCTCTCTTCTCTTCTTTTTAATATATATAAGAAAGAAATTCGGATTACTAACACAAAAACAGAAAATGTCTCATATTTAACATTGAAAAACATAAGGAAAAAATTAATTATTTTTAATAAGTAAAATTATGTAAAACAAAGCATAATACTTTTTCTAAATAAATCCACATTACAACCAAAAACGTTTGCGGCACCTCTCTTCTCTTCTTTTTAATATACATACTTTTCTCTCGTTGGAACCACTACAACCTCTTTCTTTTATATATATATATATATATATATATATATATATATTAAAGACATTTTTATGTTTAACATTTTTTATATGTATGACGTCATTTGTTTACATTTGATATGCCATGAGCAGTTATGAATATACGAGATTCATGGAAGATTGAAGTTTATAAGCAGTAAATCTGACCTTGCCTACCGAACGCTCCTTTGTGGCCGAGTCGGTTAAGGTACGTCAGCATAAATGACAGTTCCGTATAGGATGCAGGTTCAAATCCTGTCAAAGGACGAATATTTTCTATGAAAATTTCTCGGACATTCAGGCCGGTAAATGTTATTTAATACTGTTTATTATAAACAGAGCATTTACTTAAATACTTGTATCTATAAAAAGAATGTTAGACATAAAAATGTCTTTAATAAATTGTCGGACTTTGTCCAATTCTTAATGTATATATATATATATATATATATGTACTAAAGGCAAAAGGTTTGGGGTTACTCCGAATTTCTTTAAAAAAAACATCTTAAAATGAAATATTTTTTTATATTTTTTTTTAAAGTAATGCATAAAATTTCAGTATTTACAGTGTAGTTGCCTTTATTTTTTATGTCTTTACTCCAGGCTCCTCTTGCTATCAAAAAGTTCAAATTTGGATTTGTCTTCTTGGTGGTTTTATTAATGAAAACAAAATTTGATGCTGTTAGATAATTTTTTTTTATAGTTAAGTGTTTATTTTTTTCTCAAAATAAAAGCAAAGTGTCCTGTCTCACTAAAGAATCTGGAAATGGTGAGGTATCTTCTCTCTTTCATTCTCATAACTGATTGGGTGTTTGATTTGTTTTCCATAGCTTACCAACCCTTTTAACTATTTACACAATTTACATTCTTTGGAATGTTGTCCTCATCTTTATTGCCATATTCACGATGTTTCAGCCATTGTACACTCTGGCCCTCTGCTGGATCTGTCTATATTTCTGAGATGAGGTATTGTAATTATTTACACTATTTACATTGTTCAGACTCTTGTCCTATTCACAATGCTTTGGTTGTTGTATGCCCCAGCCTTCTTCAGGTGATTGGAATTTCAAACTGAACCCTTTATTTCATCCACTGGGGTAGATTGTTCTAGTTCCACATGCCATTCCTCTTCTGGATGTCTCAGTATCAGTTATCTCCCTTTAACTCAATGCTCTAAATTTTTGTTCACCTCAGCTGTAGCCAGGTACTGAACTCATAACTCTTTGGGTTAAGTCACTGGATTCAACCAACACTTTTATCCACTAGGCCATGTGTCCTTGAGGGAGATAACTGATACTGAGTCATCTGGAAGATGATCTCAGATGAGATTGAAAGTAATTGGGAAAATAAAAGTAATGAAAAAAAACTATGGTGCCTTCCTTAATGAATTTAATACCAATATTAAGAAGTCAATCAGAGAATTTGAGAAGATTAAAATAAAATAAATAGGCATAATATGTACAGATTATTCAACCAAACATGCTTGAATGAAGTTATACTGCCTAAATACACACACACACACACATATAACCGCAACATTTGATACATAAGCACATGCACACACATACACACATATGCATACAATACAGACACATGTATGCACATACATGTACACATGCATACAAAAAGAAAAAAGTCAATCTACCACTAATAATAGTATCATCCCGATTAGTGTATAAATTAATTATGTCAAACACAAAATGAGAAAATTTACAGTCAATTGCTATTTGTATTAATTATATATATATATATATATATATATATATATATATATATATATATATAAAACTGTAGTTATGAGAAAAAGTTCTCAACCTGACCAAAAAAGCCCTTCCTGTAAAAATATTATGTTTAGTCATTTGGTCAAACATTTGCTTCATATAAGAAAAAAGGAGTTGAAATTACTGGAATACAGAAATGAGAAATGTGGGCTCAGAGAACATGACACTCACAGGAGATATATTGAAAGCAAGAGGGGTAAGGCATGGAGTAACCTAACAAGCTTGTGTGAATGGACTGCAGCACATTGCTTAGAAAATGATACAAAGTTATGAAATGGCATGGTTGCACACATCCTGAAAAGAATAAAAGCCCATGAAAGAAGTCATTTGGTCTTTTTCAGTACCCCTTGTATATATGCCATATATATTTGATAGTGATTTTCCACCCTACAGCACCTTTCCCACAGACTCAATGTTGAAATCTCCCACTACTCTATTACTATTTACATGGAAAATGTTCTGATGAGCTAAATTCCTTAGTTCTACAATTTCAGACCATTATATCAAAGACCCACCACACCCTGTACCCAGAGGCAAACCATCCTCATTCTTTTTCCATAAAGAACTTTCATTTGAACAGCTTCTTCTCAAGGGCTGCTTTTTTGTAGAACATAGACCCAAGAAAATGCTTCCCTGACCACTACAATCTTAACCTTTTCAAGTCTAGGGTCAACCATTATCTATCCTACAGGGCTAATGCAAGTGTTTCATGGGTCACCCCTAAATCTATGATCTGCCCTCCCCTGAATCTATAATACATGCCCCCAACAATCTGTGATATGGAGCCCTCACCCTATTACATCTCAATTTTCATAAGGTAGTATTCATATAAAATATAAATTTTATTGCAACGTAATGACTCATACACAATATAGGTGAACAATTCAACTAGAAAATTGGAAATAAATACAATGTATCTAAATTCAAATTAGAGACATGTCATAATAGATCATTCCATCTTAAATAACTCAAATGTTTTGCAGGAGTTTTTAATATCAACTTGAGATTTTTCTTGCTAAAAAGCTGAATAATGTTAACATATTCAATATTATGGATAAAAAATAGTAAATTTTATATAGTGTTTTTTACGAGATGTAACATGAGCAAAACAAATTCCCAGATTTGGACAAAAGCAATAAAAAAATGACCTGAAAATGAAGTTAAAAATCTGCAAAAAATTGTCATCCTTTAATAATTAGTTGTGTTCAGTTTAATTTGTAATGCATGTATAAAAAAAAATGTTGATAAGATAGTGAGGGACACAAAGCACTGCTCAGGTTCCCCAATCAGGTTTAACCAAACCCCACCGGGGGTTTGGTGGGGGGTAGTACGCAATGGCTCTAATATCCTATATATTCTCATAATGTACAATTCTTATGTCCATAAAACAATCCTGTTCACTAACCTGTGAGTGGGTCTTGGGCCTTGTATTGGGTTAAAATAGAGTAAAAAATGGTTGACAGATGCCAAAATTATTCCTTTGAAGTCGGAAGATGATAACAAACAAGAAAATTTTTAATATGCTGGCTTATGACTGATACTGTAATTTTATCATTATGACCTACCATATAAATAAAAGAAGGTAGTGAGATTGGCCAATTGCCAAAAAACATAATATATCAGAATGTCCTTTTGTGATAAATGTATTACAAGTTTAATGATGCTACAAGTTCTCATTATTTTCATAATAAAAAAAAAGCTAAAACTATGATTGACCCTTAGAAATCACAGCCTCAAGGCCAATGCACTTATCACAAAACTATCAAACATGGCCGATAAGAGGTTAACATATTTGCACTGTTAGGAGAGCATATTTCATTGAATGAAAGGGTTTCTCTTTCTTCAAATCCATTAGAAAATAGAAATGAAAAATGTAGAAAGTATCAGAACGACTGAAAGGCAACTATCTTCTCTAGTGGATTGGCTGTCATTGTGAAGTGGTGCAAGGGTTAATGACACACCAAATGCCGGGGTCGCTCTGCATTGTCAGACTGTATCACGGCCTGTCTGACCATCCATTGTTTGGGTTCATTTGTCGATATTCAGACGCTCTTGAAATATAATTGCTGAGAATGCTACAATAGACAGAGCGTTACAGGCGAGAGAATGAGGACCAAATATGAAGATGAGTAAGGTGGGTGGGTTGGTTTGGTGGTTGGGTTGTGGAGAGTGGGGAAAAATGTTGATATTTCTCTACTGAGAACCCCCTTCATGGCTGCTATCGTCTTTATACTGTTTTTGCTCTGATATTGTTTTCTCTATGTGGTGCTTCTCTAAATCAGTTTGTCTTCATTTCCTTTTTTATTTTTTTTCTCGTGATATAATTCCTTCTCTTTCTCTCAATTATTCTTTCTTTCTTTTTCTTCTTTGTTCTTTATTGATATTAATTTCTGTAGATATTTCTCTCTTGATTACTCTCTTTTTTTCTTATCCACTCTCATTATTACTGTTAATATTGCTCTATTTTTATAGATGTCATTTGCTTACTTTTTTTCTCTCTTGCTCTTTTATTTCAAAGTTGGTATTCTCTCTCTCTCTCTCTCTTTCTCTCTCTCTCTCCCTTTCACCTATTATTAATATCATTCTTTTTCTATTTTTCTTTTTCTTCCTCCTTTCTTATTTTGTTTTCACACTTCTCTCATCACTCTTGAAGACACATTTTCAATTTATGAGATTTTGCCACACATTCTGCTTTTGCCCATTGATATTTTTCTTTCTTTCTCTTCCTTACACGATTTTCCTTTTTCTTATGTTTTTTTTTGTAAGTGCCACATCAGCTTTCTTTTTCATTTTATCACATTTCATCTCACTCCTTGTGAATTCTTTTTGTTCTCACACCTTTCCTCTGTTATTTATCTTCTTTTCTATCTCATAAAGTTTTTCTCTGTTGCAAGACTCACTCTCTATCTATATTGTTACTTTTCTTTTTGACTCTCCTCTTCTCTCCGTTGCAAGACTCACTCTCTATCTACATTATTACTTTTTTTTTTTCCTCTCCTCTTCTCTCTGTTGCAAGACACACTCTCTATTTACTTTCCTTTTTGATTCTCCTCTTCTTACTGTTGCCAAACCCACTCTCTATGTTGTTACTTTTTTTTTATCTCTCCTCTTCTCTCTGTTATTGATAAGTGAGCAGGTGATGAATCTAAATCTGGAGGAGAGAGGTGATAACTGCCTGCAGCCAGCGAAGCATTGCTGGAACATTCATTTCCGGACCCTTCCATTCAATGCACATCATGACTAGCCGATAGCTTCGACCATTGTCATTTAAAGTTATTGTCGAAAGTCCTGACAAACTTTGAATGCATTATATATAATCAATATGGACAGATGTGCACAAGTACCTGTGTATACACGCACACACTCACACATACATACACCCGGATATATGTATCAGTATTAATATGTGTGTGTGCATATGTATAGACTTATCTGAATATATATATATATATATATATATATATATCGCCTTATATAAAAGTGTGTATGTATAAATGTACAAGCTTATATGAAAGTATACACACACATACATATTCACACACATAATATATATATATATATATATATATATATATATATATATATGTGTGTATGTGTTTGTGTGTGTGTGTGTGTGTATGTGCTTGCTGAAAAGTTTTAGACTCAAACCCATTTTTAAAAATATTGAATGACTAAATGAATAAAAATCAGAATTTTGGTGAAAAGGCTAATAATTTTTCAGCAGTGCATCAACATATGTATATATATATTTTAAAATATTAATGGATTTATTTTTAAGCTAATATTTTTATTACTTCAAATGTTATTATAGTGGACACTTTGTATTTGAAATAGATACCCCATTTTTATTTATTAAACAGCATGTATAATATCTATTGGTACCTATGAGACCGTGGCTTGCACCTTTGCATTCTAGAAATCTTAGTAAAGAATATGTGCTCTAAGGCAGGAATCAAACCTGCATCCTCCTTTGTAGGGGAAGCCACTGTTTGATCTGGTGTGCTTTACCATTCAGCCACAAAGAACATCACAGTAAACAATGCTCTATTTTCTCATTCAAAGGAAAGCACATCCTCTTCACTCAGATTATTTTATCACAAGCCCATATCTGCTCAGTTTCATATCTGAAACTTAAACAAAGCAATTACTAAATAATTAATGGATTTATTTTTAAATACTACATGTATGTGTGTGTGTGTGTGTGTGTGTATATATATGACATGGCCTGCCCAGCTCGATTCTGGTTTGTTCCCACACTGGACAGTATCGCTGTTAGTCAACTGATGGTTATCTGCTTTCCGCTTTGTTCCTTCATCTGCTTCTGTCCCATGTTGTGTTCCTTGATCACAGAGCAGTGAAGGTCAAGTTTTGTCCATACTTAAGTGTGGGATCAGACCATGGTGGAACTGTGCTACAAAAGAACAAAGAATGCTTCTGCTGACAAAAATAAAAATAAAATAACAAAATAACGAAGAAGGTCGCTGGATTAATTTTCAGTTGATTTATATAGCTTTTGATGCAACAAAATTAACCCTTCTCATTAAACTCTCTATTATGACATTTTTTCTTTTTTTTCTAAAACGATATGGGTTTAATCAACAAAGAAAGCGGCCAGTTGGAAATTCTCTCAGCAGCAGGTCACATGGGGTTATGCAGCTCCTTCATCCATTGCTGTCTCATCTCGTTTGCATCTCTTGCCGTCTCTCACTCCAACTGCTGGGTTACTTAAGCACTCTGTTTATATGTATTTTGCCCAACTCCCCCTACACCTCAGGACTCATCAATATTCATATCAATTATTTTTTTCAGTTTTAGAGGAATGATACTGACCTTCAAGCAAAGTGTTCAGTTATTCAATACAATACATTCTTCAACAAAAAACTTTGTTTATCATTCTTTTCTATATCCTGATGACAACCAAGATGTTATCAGTTACTTATTCAAAACAATAACTTTTCCAATAACAAACTTTGTGTTTATAAATTATTTCTATGTCCTTGACATCAAAGAATATTTTAGTTGTCGACTTTTCAATGTAATTGATTAAAATTTTTGCCTTCTTTGCATATTTCAGTTTGTTTACATTATTGGCTTTGCAATTTATAACAATTCTATCTGCCTCTTGGCTGAGAATTATGTTTTTTATTTCACATGTCAGATTGTTTACATTATCAGTTTTTCAAATTGTAACAATTTCATTCAGGGTTTCTGGTTAGAAGAAAGAAAAAAAAACATTTCTCTTTTTTCTTTGTTCCATATTTCAATTCATGTTTCACCTTAACATTTTTAACCCTTCTAGTACAGGGTTTTCACATGAACCCTTTAATCCTAATTTCATACTACCAGTGTCACACACACACACACACACACACACAAACACACACACATATTGGCCAGGTATTGAACTCACAACTCTTTGGATCAAGTCACTTTTGAATTACTCAAACATGGCTGAGTAATTCAAAAGTGACTTATTGAGATTGTTGGTTCACTGTATCTCCAGAATATATCTTATATATCTATGTCAACCATTTGCCCATGCTTAGAATATTGTTAACAAATATTGCCCAGTGCTCCTGCTATATATGCAGAAATACTTGATAAAATCCAAAGAAGAATCGGCAATATTATTGGTCCTGACCTGGCATCTCAGCTTCAGTCACTTTCCCACCACGATAAAGTTACTTCCTGTGCCTTTTCTATAAATACTTTCATAGTAATTGTTTGGATGATCTCTTTATGATGGTACCTAGATTTTATGAATTTAGGTGCAGTACTTAACTGGCAATGATGTCTCATCAGTTTACAGTTGAGTTAGATAGATGTAACTATAACTCTCTTCCAACTTCATGCTTTCCAATTTAAAATTTAAATCCAATAGCAGTTGCTGTCTATAATCTTCCTGCTTACTCTTCTATTGTTCTCACTCCTTAGTAATATTTCTGTATTCTAATTCTTTCACACTCAATAACCCCTTGTATCTTAGTGGCTTTACTAACTTACTTGGGGGGAACTTGATTTATATATATATATATATATATATATATATATATATATGTATTATCAATTCACCCTAAGCAAGGCAATAATGCCACTAAGATGCAAGGAGTTACTGGGAGCGAAAGAGAATGAAAAAGACATTAGAAGGAACCAGAAACCCAATCCTAAACAAGAAACAAGGGCTAAAATTCCACTCCTGTTCAAAAGATTGGGGAGGAGTGTAAACCAGATGACAGGTGAAAACTACCTACGCCTATTATATATATATATATATATATATATATATATATTCCTGACAACATATATTCCTGCATACAACTGGCAGAAATACACATAAATTTAGACATTACCATAGAACGACATATATGCATGTCCTGACAGGAATATGTGCACAGACATATTTGCAAGTTCAAATTTAAATCCAGGGTCTTCAGTTGGTAGAACCCCTCTCTGACTGACCATGTTACATCTACAACAGTGTAGCTGTACTCACCACACTTGGCCAACTGTGAGTTGCTGAGGCTTTTTAACTCATAAGGTATTTAACACTGTTTTTACTGCTGCTGGGGTTTCAGTTACCCTCTCCCCCACACACACCTATATATATATATATATATATATATATATATATATATATATATATATTATCATTTCACCTCAAGCAAGGCAATACAGCTACTAAGATGTAAGGATTTGCTGAGTGGAATTAAGCAAGAAGTGCAATAGAAGAAAATGTTAGCATGGTTACATCTACTGATTTCAACTATGAAAATATGGGACCTTGCTGCCAATCTAGTACTGCACTTAAATTCTTAAAATCTAGGCACCATCAAGGAAAGCACATCAGTAAAATTAATATGAGAACAATTATACAAAAGACACAGGGAAGCTACATGACTGTGGTAGGAAAATGACCGAACCTAAGATGCCAGGTCAGAACCAATAACATTGCAGATTCTTCTCTGGATTTTATCAAGAATCTCTAAATGTATAGTAGATGCACCAGACCAGATATGACATCAATATTCAATGTATGGACAAATGGTAGACTTAATGGTAGACTTAAGAATATAAATCCCTTCTAAAAAAAATCCTACTTGTTTACATTTGTATATGAAACTGTGCAGATATGATAAATTTTGGGAGATCTATGATGAGAGAAGTTTCATTTAAGGCACATATTTGGCCTTGCCTGACTGACTTCAGGTTGGTAGATGAAAATGAATAAACATACTGTTTAATAAATGAAAAGCACATCTACTCAAAATAATGTTTAAAGTGATAAAAATATGTCAGATTATTTTAAAAAATCCATTATAAATATTCTAAGCATGGACGAATGTTAGACTTATAAATATGTAAGATAGATTCTGGTAAGAGAAATTGTCTAACATGACATAATGAACCAACTCTCCTAGCAGCAGACCAAGCAATTGATACTATCTAATCTTTCCACTTGATGCCAGCAGAAAACATTAGCCCAAGAAGGTGCAATGTATCACTCTAATAAAGGTCATCATCAGCCATGCTGATGGAGGGCAGTAAGTATTCTCTCTGACAATGGAAAGAGAGCAGTTTTATTTTGGAGGTGTTAAAATTAACAAGCCATTTCTTACCCCAGTTAACAACAAATTGTAGGTCATTTTTCAGATCAGTTGCCAATTCGACCTGATTAAACCAAACAAATGGACCATAATAATGATTGCTAATTATACCATGTAACCTATTAATATCAGCCACATGGTTAGTTTATCAGAATGAAATTAGTTTCCCTACCAAGCTTTCTGGTGAGGAGTTTGGCAGTTAGATACCTAGTAGGATTGAAAACAAGATCTATCAAAGAATGGATGAATCCTTACTTTCATGAGAAGGATCTAATGAGGATGTAGAAATAACTGGGGTGGTGCCCAGGCGCCAACTAGGAGAAAGAAAATTCTGATGTAATGCCTGTGACTTGACAGCATCCAGTGATACTGGCTTGTTTTCCATTTTTGGTATATGATATTCTTGCTTAGCAAATAAGATTGACCCAGTGCAACATCTTTATCCACTATAAAAATTTGGATAATAAGCAAATAAAAAATTGCTTGATATCCTAAGTTACAACTGAGTCTTATAATGATATATTGTGGTGACCATATTCATATATATATAGATAGATATATATATATATATACAAGGTTGTATGATAAAAGTTCACAAAGTCCATCTCCATGTACATACATGGAGCCTCGTCAAAAAAAT